CAATAAATCACAATAAGCATTGTGCTTTGGTGCTTTTAATATGAAACAAAGTCCCAAGTTTCAATTTATGTCCATTGTATTGCCGTTTTGGCGCTGTTTAATGTGGAGTGACAGATCTCTGTAGTATGGGATTACCTTTGTGTTAATTAAAATGAATGTAATTTTTCAAGAAACTTATGAAAATATAAATTGAAACTGAATAAAATGTCTTTGAAACTAAATGCAGGCAAAATCTTTTACTTCGTTTTTAATACACTGCATGTTTTGCAACTGTTTTCTCTTCTTTTATTCGCTGATCTGTACTTCCAGAGTTTTCATTTACGCTTCTGAAGTTTTCGTTCACCATTCTGGCACAAATCTCTCGTGGGGGTGGGACTAGCAGCGGTGTGTTCTCATTGGCTACTAAGGTTTTGATTGACAGCTTCTTGACCTGGAAGTGAAGGCGTCAATGTTGCCTTGCCAGTGTGGATGTGAGCGTCTGTTAGCGGCTTCCAATTTCATTTTAGCGATATAAAGTTAGGAGTTTTGTTTTTGAATTCAGTCTGTATTTATCTGTTGCTACTACTATAAATTTGTATAGATAGAAAAAAAATTGAAGTATTGAAGTAGAAATATTATTAGGTAATTGTAACTTTATTATTTTAAAAACTTCATTGTGTAATTTTAACAGTTGTATGCTACAGCTTACAAATCAGACAATTTTAACCTTCATTATATTATAGTAATGCAGTACCAAATGACTCTCATGTATATTTTACAGCATAGAATATTTCAGTGGTTGCTAAGATATTCTGGGTGGTTGCTAGGGCACTGTAAGAATGTTTAGGTGGTTGCTAAGATATTCAGGGTGGTTGCTAGGGCACTGTAAGAATATTTCAGTGGTTGCTAAGATATTCTGGGTGGTTGCTAGGGCACTGTCTCTCAAATAATCCCAGATCTCAGGATGTTTATATGTTTGTAATCTTCCCATGACAGAAACTCACCCGCAGTGGCGACCCATGACCTCCAGCACGAATGTGCGCTGATGACTGAAAAACACAATCAATAAAACAACATGAGCAGAGAATCTGGGCCAAACATACTGCAGACTGACTTTATGTGAAACTATCTGTGAGTGAGACACATTCCCTCTTGTGTGTGAAAAGTGAAGAGACGAGCTGAGACAAGAATTCAGCACATTCACTGCATTCCTGAACAAACGAGGAAAAATCCCCTGATGAACGACAAGAAATCACAGTCGTCACAGCCTGTGGCCATGAATAAACCTTTAAATTAATTCACCATTATTTAGTTTATATTTTCTTATCTACATGTGTCTTAATATCACTGAGATAATATTATAGTTTTTATCAGTATTTTGAATTAGCATTTATTTTTATATTTTTCATTTTCATTTGAGCTACTTTAGTCATCTTGTTTAAGATTTTAGTATATAAAGTTAAACTACATTAAAATAATAAAAAATAAAAACGTTTTTATATTTTATTTTACTTCAGTTAACATTTATTTTTATATTTTCCCGTTTCATTTGAATTTTAATTAAAGTTTTAGTAACTCTGTTTTGTGTTTTTGACATATTTAGTAGTTTTGTTTTTAAATATGTCTATATAGTTTTTTATGACTATTTCTTTATTTTAAGTTAAACTAAATTAAACTACTAAAAAATTAAGTATTTTTAATATTTTATTTTACTTCAGTTAACATTTATTTTATTTAGTTTAATTATTTAAGTTTTAGTAATTTTGTTGTGTTTATTTTTAGTAGTTTTTGTAAATATGTTTATATAGTTTTTATTTCAGTTTAAGATTTATTTATTTTAGTACATCAGGTTAAACTAAATTAAAATAATACAAAAATGTAAAAATATTTGTATATTTTATTTTACTTCAGTTAACATTTATTTTATTTAGTTTAATTATTTAAGTTTTAGTAATTTTGTTGTGTTTATTTTTAGTAGTTTTTGTAAATATGTTTATATAGTTTTTATTTCAGTTTAAGATTTATTTATTTTAGTACATCAGGTTAAACTAAATTAAAATAATACAAAAATGTAAAAATATTTGTATATTTTATTTTACTTCATTTAATATGCATTTTATTTCAAGTAATGAAGTTAAAGTTTTAATTTTGTTGTGGAATTTTGTAATGTTTAGAAGTTTTTGTAAATTTGTTTATAATTTTATAATAAATTGTATTTCAGTTTAAATTTTTTTTATTTTAGTACATCTAGCTAAACTACATTAAAATAAAATAAAAAAAATTGAATATATATTTTATTTTTATTTCAGTTAACATATATTTTATTCCAAGTAATGAAAATGTTTGTTTTTTTATATAAAGATTAAAGTTTAACAATTTTGTTGTGGATTTTTCTCATGTTTAGTAGTTTTTATAAATTTGTTTATATATTTATAATTAATTTTATTTCAGTTTAAGATTTATTTATTTCAGTACATCCAGTTAAAGGCACAATATGTAAGATTTTTTTATTAAAATATCCAAAAACCACCAGAACAGTGTTATATATTTTGCTGACTTGTGTACTTACATTATGCCAAATGTTTCGAAGAATGTTTAAATCCAGAGAAATAAGCAATTTTAACTAGTGGCACGGAGCGTGTCCATAGTGTCATTGTGTCGCCTGCTAATGACGTCATAACCCCTCGATTTGTTTTGTAGAAAACATGGAAACACCAAAGACGCTTTAATATGACCGCACAGAGTAGCATTATAACAGAACGCTCAAATGTATCAACTATGATAAAACAGCGCTGCTTTACCCCACATACGCACGACCGGAAGGAGCGGAAGCGCTCGACTGTGGCATAATAAAAGCTCCGCTGCTTTACCCCACATACGCACGACCGGAAGGAGCGGAAGCGCTCGACTGTGGCATAATAAAAGCTCCGCTGCTTTACCCCACATACGCACGACCGGAAGGAGCGGAAGCGCTCGACTGTGGCATAATAAAAGCTCCGCTGCTTTACCCCACATACGCACGACCGGAAGGAGCGGAAGCGCTCGACTGTGGCATAATAAAAGCTCCGCTGCTTTACCCCACATACGCACGACCGGAAGGAGCGGAAGCGCTCGACTGTGGCATAATAAAAGCTCCGCTGCTTTACCCCACATACGCACGACCGGAAGGAGCGGAAGCGCTCGACTGTGGCATAATAAAAGCTCCGCTGCTTTACCCCACATACGCACGACCGGAAGGAGCGGAAGCGCTCGACTGTGGCATAATAAAAGCTCCGCTGCTTTACCCCACATACGCACGACCGGAAGGAGCGGAAGCGCTCGACTGTGGCATAATAAAAGCTCCGCTGCTTTACCCCACATACGCACGACCGGAAGGAGCGGAAGCGCTCGACTGTGGCATAATAAAAGCTCCGCTGCTTTCAATCGTGTGTCGCGCTCGTTCAGCGCCTCGTTTCGCTTCGGCTTTCGCTTTCAGCCTCACCCTGCTTCATTCTACTACGTTAATAAATCATTAGCTCATCCATGAACATGATTTCTGCCCGAGTCCCGTCGGATTGCATCGGCTGTGGGGATGAAAAAGTGTCATCTAACTACGCCTTTGTCTATTTGTTTATTTTGAATATGCACCCTCTAGTGGCGAAAATGATATATTGTGCCTTTAAACTAAATTAAAATAAAAAAAAACATTTAGGTTTTAGTTATTGGTTTTTTTATGTCTAATAACTCTGCTAAAGTAATCTGAAGTGAACTGTTCACTGAAGCTCATCAGGACGTGCTTCAGACCTGGTGGCTGTGGTGGTGATGGCGTCGATGATCTCAGTGATGCGGTTGAGGGCCGAATCAGCGCCGATGGTCATGTCTGTCCCACAGAAATCATTATCGATGGAGCCCACCAGTCCCACGATGTTCAGGTGTCCGTGCTGCTTGGCCGTTTCCGCTGTGATTCGACCTGAGCAGAAGAAGAGGAAGATGTGTTAGTGTGTGACCAGTTCATTCTGACCCAAAACAATCCACAGGCATCCTCTTTGTGCCAAAATATTTATGCTGCTGTTCATCAGTATCTTCAACATACATAAATTATTATTGTTATTGTATCCATTTGTATTAATTTTGTATTGTATTAATTTTAAAGCAGTCAAATTCAGACAAGAATACAAAAAAATACATATAAATAAATGTATAATATTATTATGAATAAATAAATGAAATTAACTTACTGATTAAATATAAATAAGTTAATTGAAAATAAAATAAATACATAAATAAATGTAAAATAAAGAAATATAAATATTTATAACAGATAAAAAATTATTTGGGGAATGGGAAAAATATATAAATAATGATAATAATAATAATAATAATAATAATAATAATAATAAATAAGATAATTATTAATACTTAAAATTAATTATTTAAAAAATAAAATAAATACATAAATAAATGTAAAAAAAAAATATATATATATATATATATATATATATATATATATATATATATATATATATATATATATATATATATATATATATATATATATATATACTTATTACATATTTAAAATGATGTGGCTCCTTCAGTGGACCAACTTAAATGAAGTTACATACGTTTTGTGGTATAGCTTACTAGTTGACTGTAGCTGAACTTCTTTAAATTATGAGTAGCTTGTATCTTGAGAAACTAGTTTCAAACTGGTTTCCTGAACACTGTTGCAGAGTAACAGACTTGCCCTAAACTGACTTTGATAACGGCCTTCATAAAGATTTATGAGATTCTTATCCTGAAGAGGCTGGAGTCATCATTCATGAGCTTGAGGCAGCTCTGGCAGTAAACTTCTCTAAAGTTTCAATTCAGTCATTCATTTTTGCAATGCAGTTTAGTGATGTACCTTTAAAACACATCTGATGGCAAACTATGAAGTAAAGAGTAAAGCTCATTGTTTTTTACACATGAATCATTGTGCACAACATCAGAGCATGTTATTGTATTGTGATGCAGAAAACATAGATGGAATTGCAGAATCCAATCCAATTTGCTAATTTTTTGGCACTATTTTTCCATCCACGTTTTAAAGCAAACCGCAAACCTCTATTGTCCAGCAGTTTGTTTGCAATAAACTACATTTGACTGCATTTTAAAAGATTAATTAGTTTCATGCATTCATTTGATTGCCACCATTTTTGATAATAAATCTGTATTATCACAGAATTTTTGACACTTTTTTTTTTTCAAAGAGCACTATTATTGTTAAACTTTTAATAATTATTAAATTGTTAATGTTTTATTAATTCAATTGCTTAGACATCCTTTTTGATTATTACAATTTAATTAAAATGGAAAACATGGAATTTGGGGAAAAATAAAACAGAATTTGGGAAGAAATAAAACAGTTTTCATAGGCTCCTAATAGAATGTGAAAATATTTATATATAGTTTTTATTCAGTTTTATTTAGTTAGTTATATCAAGTTAAACTAAATTAAATTGAGAAATGTTGCCTTGGCAAATAGCTGAAATAAAAAAGGTTTATATATATATATATATATATATATATATATATAATTTCAGTTAATGTTTATTTTATTTCAAGTAATGAAGCAAGTATTTCTTTATGGTTGTAGCTAAATATAATAACCCTGTCTGGCATATATACCACCATATCCCTAATGATATTGAGCAGAAGAGGGTAAAATGTGCTTAATTCTCATGGAAATAATGTCAAAAAAATTTTGGGGGGAAAAAAATTTATTAAAAAAAAAATAAATAAAAAAATATTTTTTTTTCCAATGAGCATTATTATTGTTACAATATTAAAACCTTATTAAACTGTTATTGTTTAATAAATTAAATTGGTTAGACATTATTTTCGATTATTACAATTTAATGAAAATGGAACAAATAAAAATGGAAAACACGGAATTTGGGAAGAAATAAAACAGATTTCATTAGGCCCTAATAATGTGATTTGGTACCTTTCTTCAGCAGCTCATCGAGGAGTCCGCTCCACTCAGAGCGGAAGATGTTGGCCCCGGTGAGGCTGCCGTCTCCTCCACACACACACAGGTTGGAGATGCCACGCTTGACCAGGTTAAAGGCAGCAGCTAAACGTCCCTCTCGTGTGGTGAAGGCCTTACAGCGCGCGCTGCCGATCACCGTTCCTCCCTGAGTGAGCAACACACATGCACTGCTGTTACGCATGTAGACATTGCATTAGAGCATCTGATGTTTTAATCATAGAGAGGCATTTATTGCAATGCTTCAACAAGGGCAAACTGTTCACAAATGCATGTCAGCGCTGCGGCCGAACAGTTGCACGCATGCATCAGAGTCAAGCATTCAAAGGAAATGCAGCACAGCAGTCAGCGCAGACATACAAACACAAAACACACACAAACAAAAAAGACTCCCAAACTTTTCTGTCAGCCGAACCCCTTAGATGTAAAATAATTCTCAGTTCCCCTAAGAATTTAAGTTATCATTTTCAATTTCATATGTTACCAGATAAACAGATAAAATATTTAATAATTTTTTAAGTGTTTTTTTTATTTTTAATGTTTTATATATATATATATATATATATATATATATAACATTTTAAAATAAAAACAATCAAAATGAAACAAAAAAGATTAAACATTTACCTGTTAATTGCATTCCATTATTATTATTATTGTTGATTCAACTCCAAGTATAAAAATGAAGATATAAATATATATTACTGTTGTACATTACAGTTGTCCTTTAAAATAAAATATAAATATTTGATAATAATAGTATATATAAATATATATATATATATTTATATATATATACAGTGGGGCAAAAAAGTATTTAGTCAGCCACCAATTGTGCAAGTTCTCCCACTTAAAAAGATGAGAGAGGCCTGTAATTTTCATCATAGGTATACCTCTATATATATATATATATATATATATATATATATATATATATATATATATATATTACTCTTGTAAATTACAATTTTCCTGTAAAATAAAAAATATATATAATTATAGGCCTAATAATTATTTTATTTTATATAAATATTTTTATATATAATAAAATATATAAATATTTTAAATACACACACACATATATAATTTCATTAAGTATAAAATAACTTTTATTTTATATAAATGTTTTTATATATAAGAAAATATATAAATATTTTATATTATAATTGCATTAAGTATAAACATGTAAGCCTGTATGTTGCTATATTTCCCAAAGTTTTGAAAGAATCCACACAGAAAGGACATAAAACAGCAGTGGACCGTGTGACTCGTGCACTATAGTCAAAGTTATTTTGTGTGAGAAACAGACCGTTGTTGATAATCTTGTCCTTTCAGATTAAAAAATGTTGCATTGATGCATCAAGCTCAGTTCCAGCGCACATGACGCTCAGTGCCGGTTTGACATCAAACTTGATGCAATGCATCAACAAATGTGATTGCAAATGAGATTTGGGAGCAGATGGGAGGTTTATCATTTCACTGAAACAATAACGGCATAAGGATTTGAAATGACACGAGAGTGAATAAATTATGGCAAATCTTCATTTTTGGGTGAACTGTCCCTTTAAAAGTCTCCTTGAACACTTTCAAACCAGATTTTACGTTAAAAACTGCAGAACAATAACGGACACACATCATCACAGAAATCTTAATATTAAGATCTCTGTCTGCTGGACAAGTAGGTAATAATTTGATACTCAATTCAGACCGACTCACTGCATACATGTCAAGTACAGTAGGCCACATTTCACTACTGCATGGAAAAGAGCACTTAGGATACTATATGCATCATCTATAGCAGGTTAACGTAACACTTCTGTTACTCTAAAGTCTTTATTTCACCAGCATTAGAGCACATGCAGCAGGACAGCTTACCAGTTTACCCGCTTAACTGAAGAACACAGAACAGACAGAAGAGAAAGAGCTGCAGGTCAACAAAACTATTAAAAACCATTTCATTCATTGAAAAAGAGCTGAAATAAAATATAAATATTAGATTCTTAAATAAAGAAAAATTAAATATTGGAGATGTTGCCTTGATTTAAGTTTAAGTTACTAAAATGTGCAAAACTGAAATAAAAATGAATTAATTACTTAATGTGAAAACTGAAAATGCAAAAATACATACTATTATAGTATTAAAATAATATTAAACTAACACTGCACTGCAGCAATAATATTACAATTTTCATTTTAATTTTTAAAAAAGTTTTAGTACTAATTTTGTTGTGTTTTTATCATTGAGATGAAGAACACTTAGAGAACTAAAACTGAAATAAAAATGAATAAAAACTATATTTATATATACACACATAAAATAAATATAAATAAATAATAAATAAATAAATAAATATATTATATATATATATATAATTAAAA